TTGTATATGTAGATAATTCAAAGAATCTACAAAACTACTATAACTAATAAGTGAGCTTAGCAAATTTACAGCACACAAGACCAACACTCAAATATCTATTATGTTTTTATATATTAGCAATTTACAGCTGTGAATCTAAGATTAAAAACACAGTACTCCAAAAAAGTTAAATAACTAGACATAAATATAACAAATCTTATATAGGATCTGCATGCTAAAATCTACAAAACACTAATGAAAGAAACCAAAGAAGACCCAAATAAATGGCAAGACATACCATGTTCATGAGCGAGAAGACTCAAATAGTTTTCAGTTGTTAGTTGGGCACAAAGGTGTACACCTGTAGTCCCAACTACTTGGAAGGTTGAGGCCGGAGAATGGCTTGAACTTATGAGTTTGACAGTAGCCCAGAAAATATTGTGAAACTCCATCTCAAAAAAAAAAGAGAGATTAATTCTCTCCAAATTGACATGAAGATCTAATTAGATCCCAATTAAAATTCTAGCAAGGTTTTTTATAAGTATGGACAAACCTATTCTAAAATGTATATGGAAAAGCAAAAGAACTAGAATAGTCAAAACAATTCTAAAGAAGAAAAACAAGGGCTAGGGTTGTGGCTCATTGCCTAGCACATGTGAGGCACTGGGTTTGATCCCCAGAACCACATAAAAATAAATTTAAAAATAAACAAAATAAAGGTATTAAAAATGACACTGTGTTAAAAAAAAAAGAAAAACAACTGTAGAGCCAACCTAGATGCCCTTCAGTAGATATTTGAATAAAAACATGTGGCATATATATACACACTGGAATTTTACTCAGCAATAAAAAGAAAATAAAATCATGACATTTGCAGGTAAATGGATGCAGTTGGAGAAGATAATGCAAAGTGAAGTTAGCCAATCCCAAAAAAACAAATGTCAAATGTTTTCTCTGATATAAGGAGGCTGACTCATACTGGGGTAGGGAGGAGGAGCATGGGAGGAATAGACATATTCTAGATGGGGCAGAGGGATGGGAGGGAAAGGGAGGGGCAGGGGATTAGCAAGGATGGTGGTACATGTATGAAGACACAAATTGGTATCAATTCGTCAATTGTATACTTTATATCCAACCAGAGATATAAAAAATTTCCTGTATATGTGTAATAAGAATTGTAATGCATTCCACTGTCATTTATTTTTTTAAAAAAATCAATTAAAAAAAGAAAAACAAAACCAGAGAACTCAAAACTATTCAATTTAGACATACTATAAAGCTACAGGACTCAAAACAGTGTGACATTGGCAAAAGTTTAGGCCCATAAACTAATGGAACAGAATAAAATACAGAAATAGACCCACATAAAGAAGGTCAATTGGTTTTTACACAAATGTGTAATGTCAGTTCAATTGAGAATATACAATCATTTCAAAAGATGGTATTGGAAAAACTGGACATCCTCACACAAAATACACCTCAACATATACAGAAATTAATGCAAAATGGATCATGAACCTAAATAGAAGTGTAAAACTAAACTCTCAGAAGAAAATAGGAGAAAATCTTCTTCACTTTGAGTTAGGCAAAAAGGATTTAGGTGTGAGAATAAAAGAAAAAAATTACAAATTGGACTTCAATAAAATTAAAAACATTTGTTGTATGAAAAACACTAGTAAGGAAATAAAAAGATAAGTCATTAACTGGAAGAAAATATTTGCAAAAGACATATATGATAAAAACACTATATCCATAATATGTTAAGTGCTCTAAAACTCATTACATATAAGTAAGAAAATCCAACATAATAAAAATGCACAAAGTGTTTAAATGCACATTTCATCAGAGAAGATATACAAATGGCAAATAAGCACAAGAAAAGATGCTCAACATCATTGGCTATTAGGAAATGCAAATTAAAACCATAAGAAAATTCTATTACACCCATACCAGAATGAGAAAAAAATTTTAAATATTGCAATAATACCAATGCTAATAGGGATGCAGAAAAATTCAATCTCATGCATTACTATTGGGAATGCAAAATTGTGAAGTTATTCTGAAAATCAATTTGGCAGTTTCTTGTAAAATTAAACACTATATGACTCAGTAATCCTATTACTAAATATTTCCCCTAAAGAAGTGAAACCGTATATTTACAGAAAAGTTTGCATATGAATATTGATAGCAGCTATACTCACAAAAGTCTAAACCTGGAAAACAAGTCTTTTTGAGTGGGTAAACAAACTATACTACTCAGCAATAAAAAGGAATGAACTATTAATGCTTGCAACAACATAGATGAATCTCAAATGCATTATGCTAAGTGAAAAAATCTCAGTCTCAAAAGGCTACAATACTGCATGATTCCATTCATATGACATTTTGGAAAAGGCAAAAATACAGGGAGAGAAAACACGTCAGTGGTTGCCAGGGTTAGGAGTGAGGGGAGGCTCTGCATTCTGTGATGACAGTTACAAGATTCTATGCATGTGTAAAAGTTCACAGAATTGTAGACCAAACAAAAGTTAATTTTACTGCATTTAAAATTTAAAATTAAAAAATTAAATCAGGATGGGTGGTATAGCTCAGTGCTAGAGCATTTGCCTGACATGAAAGAGGCCCTAGGTTTGATCCCAGCACTGCAAAAAAGAAAAAAAGAAAAAACCTTCTCTCCCATTACACTCAAACTTCTTATACCCTCCTTCCTCCCCTCTACCATTAGAAATCTCCTAAAACAATGTCGTCCCAAACTTTGTAGGCTTTCTCCTGACCATCACATAAATCTACTTATTCCTTTTGTCATTTCTTGGCTAAAGACTGTGTATATACTGATTACTGAATATGTATCTCCAGCCCAGAACTCTCTCCTGAGCTCCAGACCTGAATAACCTTACTCCCTCCAAAAACAAAAAATCAGTTTCCCATTTTTGTTCTCTCTGCTTCACCTCATCCCTTCTCTGATTAATCACCAAGGTGCATTGATTACAATTTCTAAATATTTCTGGAAGCTGTGCACTTTCCTCTATTTTAATTATCATGACCGCTAGATCATATGTCACCTGTATTATTTCAATAGCCTCTTCACTGGTCTGTCTCCAGTCTTGTCCCCTTCTAGTCCATTCTTTGTATTATAACTACAATGGTGAAAAGCTCAATCTTTTTAGTAGCTTTCCTTACTGGTCTTTGAATAGTCTGAACTCTTTAACATGGTTTACAACTCCTTTCATGATCCAGCCCATACTCCTCTCTCCAGGCTTATCTCTCATTATTCTCAACCCTGAAGTTTCCTCTCCACCAGTCCTATCCTCAAACTATATGCTTAAACCATACTGTACTTTGTTCAGTCTCTCAAACATGCCCCTACTATTTTGCATGACTGCGATTCTTTCTTGACAACTCCCACATTTTCCACCCCAGCTCTACTTCAGCTGGATAAATAATATTTATCCTCTGGTTTCACATTCCACATCACTTATTTAGGATATCACTGAGTAACTCCCACAACTAAACTATATATCCCTTCTGGATGCTATCATAATACTGTTACAAGAGACTTTTGTTTGGTGTTGTAATAGTCTATTTGCCTATCTGCTGTCCACAATGAATTGTACACTCCTTGAAGGCAATGATTATGTCTTGTTGACATTTTAGTATCAGCTAAATGCCTGGCATGGGGTAAGTATTCAGTAAATATTTACTGGATTAATGGATGAGGAGAGAAGATGGGCAACAGTCTATAAGATTAAAGGTCACTATTTTTCTCTTTCTATATTTTCCAAGTATTCTATGATGAAATGTATTGCTTTTATAACCAGAAAATAATAATATGCTTGAATTAATTCTAAAAGTATATTAAGCATACTTGAAAAAGAAAAAAAAACTATGAAAAAAATCACGTATAACCCTACCACCTAAAGATAACTTGTTAACATTTTTTTGTATCCTTTCCAGTATTTTCTATGGAGATATTTATATACTAGGGATTGAATCTGGGGTTGCTTAACTACTGATTTACATTCCCAGTCCTTTTATTTTTTTAATTTTGAGGCAAAGTTGCTTGGAGCCTCACTAAGTTGCTGAGGCTAGCCTCAAACTTGTGATCCTCTTGCTTTAGACTTCCAAGTTGATGGGGGTGCACTTCCACCCCTGGCTCTATGGATATATTTTAAACATTGAGACCATATTGTGTTCTGTTTTGAATTCTGTTGTTTTCAGTTACACCAAAAGTAATTTTTCAGTTATATCAAGCAACAATTGTTATTTAACCATTTCTCTGCTGTCCAACATTGAGGTTTTATTTAATTTTTATTTATTTGATTTTATTTAATTTTCCAGTATTATGATAAGGCAGAACAGAAATCTGTTCCCCTCATTTATAACCATTTCTGTAGGATAGGATCCTAGAAGTAAATGTATGTTATGAACTTTTTAAGACTCAGTGTATATGGTTGAATTGTTTTCCAGAAAGCTTATACTAATAATAGCTCCTTGAGGATATCCTGTATTCTATTCCTTTAGTCTGATTTTATTATGTTAATTTTACAGATGAGAAAACTAAGGTCCATTTACACAATTTATCTAGAGTCACCGACTTAACAAGTGACAAAGCTAGAATTCTAATTTGGAATTGCTCAATTTCAAAGCTCATGTTATTTCCTTGTAGATTTCAAAAATAAGGATTTTGAATTAACAAATTATTACATATTTTCTAAAGAAAATATGAAAAAATCCATGTAGACAGTAGAGAATATAAAAATATGTTACCTATGAGTCAACCACTTACAAAAATTTAGTGAATTTTCTCAGACTTTTATTCCACATCCAATTTGGGGGTTAAAATAACTCTAATTCATGTATTTAATTTTGCATTTCATCCTTTTCAATTTACATTTTCTAGTACATTCCATATTCTTCATAAACATAATTTTAACAGTTACATATTATTGTTAAATGGGTGTTTCCATGTGAATTTTTACTGTTGTTCAGCTCACCTATGAATTTCTTATTTTTATTCCCAGGACTCACCATCTCTCATGAGGCTTACAGAGTTCAATGTTGGGAACCATTCTCAAAATAAGCCACCATGTTGGATTTAAAGCTTCACAGTTTGAAAGCATTCCATCAAATACTTGCTGTGCAGATGTTTCAGGACTTTACAAATTATTTAATTTACTGACTGCTCTGCAGTTGGTAACAATAACTTCAAGCCAGTTTTTCTTCCTTTCCTATCCTCTCCCAATTGACGAAAGCCTAAATGTAAGATATATATCTTTACATTCATCTTGTCAGGTAAAAGGGAATTCAGATGCCTTCTTTGGAATCTTTAATTCCCCCAGAAAAACTATTAGTTATATCTACAAGGGTCTTTTTGGTATTGGGGGCAATCAGCATACATTGGCTGCTTGGTGCATGTGCCTTTATAAACATGTATATGTGCAGCATATCTACACAAAATTCTGCTGTAAAGTTGTAAAAATCAAGGTTAAAAAAGCCTGAGGATTTATTAATCATGCCTTTTCCCTAAATAGCAATTTCAATATTTGCTGAGCTTTGAATCATCCATATATCAAATGTCTCAAATTTGAGAGGGAGATTCAATACACTATGATCAAGGTCCTCAAATTGAGAATCAAACAATAATGTAAAACCTGTTCTCTGTCACAGAGGTTCCTGGAAGCACCACAGCTAATAGAAAAGATCAGATCAGATCAGATTAGATCAGATCAGATTTCCACTTTATGAAACATAACAATTAGTGTTTTTAAAGAGTTTTAATGTCAGGCTATGGTAAAATTCTCCAATTACTTTTATTCATTTCTCTGCTCTCTAGTTTTATTTTAGCTTTTATAAAGTACTGTTATGATGAAAGAAAAATTATAAGCAGCCTAAGTTATGGGCCATCGGTTTTGTAAAGGGTTTTAGGGTGATTTTCGGGTTTAATTACAATACTGTTCAAAGGGTGAAGTTTCACAGCTGACATTAGCCTGAGGATTAACTAAAGATCTGTATTTTCACAGCAGGGGTTAATGTACAGATAGTGATAACTGAACAGTAATATGCCAATCCCCTTTTTTTAAAGCCTCAGTGGTAGCTCAGCCATTAAGATAGTTTATATCCATTTCCCCATTTATTTATAATCAGCCTTTCTTTCAGTCCTAGTGCCTGAATCAATGAGTATGGACACTAATGCTGCTTCTTTATAATAATAATACCTAAGAGTATTGATGTTTTTCATTTTTCAACCAGCACTCTAGTGCCCAGCTGCTGACAATAAAAGCCCCAACTCTTATGGAGATCAGTGGGAGTTAGAGGCATCTTACAGATATCAAGGAATTGAGCTCCTTGTGGGATGGTTAAGTTCACTAAATTATCCTCCCTGAAATCTTTTTGAGTTAAAAAATAGAGTTGCCTATTACAAATAAATCAGTGTTGAGGCACTAATGCAACTGAGACAGTGAGCAATTCAGCTACATAAAGCAATGACAAAACCTGTTAATTTGGACCCCCTCTGTAATTTTGACCAAAGTGAGATTTTTAGCATAAAATAAATGGACTGTGGTCAGCGTTTCATTTGAGAATACTAGGCATTATTAAATCTGTTTGGGCCAGGGGCCAGGGTCTGTTTCTTAAACTCAGAAGCTATGAAGCAGCCCAGAAGACTATGCACGCTAGATTTCATGATGAGATCTTACATGTTCAGATGGGAAGGTTTTTCCCTTTCCACTCTTCTAGAACACTTTTATTGCTTAGGTTTCTCTTGAAAGCTTATTGGGCCATCCACATGGTTTTATGATGTACAAGTTTGCCTTCTATTCCTATACAAATGTAATATTAAATGGAGTACAGTGGGCCTCAAAGCAATCTTCCCCTTTCCTGACTGTCATCTTCTGCCAAGAGTTTAGGCAGAGCAGCTACTTTCTATGATTTAGAGTCAGGAAAGGCAACAAGAACTTCTTTGATGCATAGATTGTATTATCACTCAGCTCTCACAGAAATCAGGTCACAAAAGACAGTAAACTACAGGGAACCTCTGGAAGGGTAAAGCTCAGGGGAGCTATAATGCAAAACTGACTATTTAATGTCTTCAGAAGGCCAAATGATTCAGGGTTTTACCTGAAGGCTTGAGAAAAAAAGAAACCTTATTCCTATGTTAGTACCTTGATCCCACTAGTTCATAGACTCTGATATTATCCCTTTTTGTAAATCATAAGGGTATTGATTACTGTACATAGTCAAATATCTGGTTGATTATTGATCAAGAAGACAGTTTTTTGTTTAATAATTAGCACATGCTGACCTTGCTTCTTTGCTTTCTTTCCTTGGAGTCCTGCCCGATATCCTCTGTGGGATCTCATTTTCCAATTTCTGGTACTCTTCTCCCCCATTTGCAAAATGAAGATACACATTGTTAAGATCCTACAGCCAAAAGGTGCTATGTTAACTTCCTAGTGCTCTTATATGTCTTTAATTTCAGGACTGGAATGAAAAGTTTAACCATGACAGTATTTCTAAGCAAACCAAGATGCTCCATTCTTTCTTCTATACTTTCATTGCTGATTTTTTATTGCATAGCTTAGAGTACTTTGTTAATGTTCTTCCATTTGTTCAACAATGTTTTTGGAAAGAGAATGTAAATTATTGTTCCACAATAGGGAAAAATAAATGTAAAATAGATGAAATGCTTCCCAAAAGCACATGGATGTGCTCACAGTCATCATGTCCAATACACAGAGTGATTTGGCTTCGTAGCACTGAAATCACCATGGAACAGCTTAGAGCAATTAGGACAGAAGTACATTCCAGAAGACTTGCACTTTGTCCGAAATCTTAAGTAAGCAATTTATACAACTCCTATTTTCTAATGCACTATGTGCCTCTTTCCCCCATTGGCCCCATGTGACATGGCATCAGCCAGTGTCATAATCTCCTATGGCATCTATAAGGCCCAGTTTCAGGGCTGCTTTGCCAGAGAAAATAATGTGCTCCCCCATGTTTATGTCAAATTACATGAAGTGTAGACATTGAGGTTAATGGAGATTTAAGCACAATGCTAGCAGGTATGTTTTAAGAATATTGATTATACATTAATTTAATGTATACCTGAAATTTAACAAAGTCCCAATTCATAAGAATATGACAGTATCAAAGCGTTTCTCTTTCATCTCCAATCACACATATCTACATAAACACGTATACACACACACACACACACACACTCTCCTTCCAAAGCAGGCTGCCTGGTCATCAGGAGCAAATACCTTAAAGGAGTGATTCTACTTCTGAAAACATGTCTAATAATCACAGAAAGTGAAGAACATTTCATGTATACATTCTAAAACCTCACTTTCACAGTGGCTGAGACTCAGTTGGTGTAAAAGATAAGTTCTATGCAGAGGCACAGAGAATATCTAACAAGATTGTCAGACCCTTTCACAAGTCCCATGTTCTCAGAAAATTCATGAGCTCCATCCAATCAGTAGGAAATGGTTGATGAGGTATGGTACATCCACATTTAACCATAGCTGCAATGTGCCATATTAAACTGTAGTCTTTTGCATGTGACTATTATGTAATATAATAATGAATGGGTGGCTCCTAATAGCATGCAGCCCATGACTTGTTTACTTCCCCAAAAGGGCTAGAGCTGTGTCCTGCACAGTGTTCAAAATCATTAAATGTGTTCTTTGGAGCAGCCTGGTACACAGCCATCAGCAGAATGAGTTAAAACATACAATGGATTCAATATATCAGGAAATAGATTCTTAGTAGGGAGTGGCATTAAAGGGAAAAAAACAATAAGATAAGATGCATTCAAGGAATAATTGCTTTCACCCTGCTGGCTAAATCAGCAAAGGAACACAGCAGGAAAGCTGGGACTGGGTCTTGGTAATATGTGAAATGTATTGGAGAACCAGAAAAAGAAAGGCACTGGGGACCTCAGCAGTTAAGCTCAAGTTGCCAATTTGCTACAAATCCTTTTTTCCACCAATCTGTTCAAAGTGATTGTATATAGTATTCTTAAAACGATGTGTCTTGCTGCAGAAATACTGACAAATGCTGTCTAGCTTTATCTTCCTATGTCCTTATTAAAAGTATATGCATAAAATTTTTGTTTCTTTTCTATGTTATGGTTTTGTTAAACAACGTTGGCAAAGCCTGAAGTTTTAGATTGCTCCAATGGAAGCGTATACGTCTCATGTCATGGTGTATAGTGAAGATTATTCACTCCCAGGCTGATTGGCATGTGTGGTATATAGACTCTTCTGTAACATCTCATCTTCTGAACACCCAGTCCCATGTGTTCAGTATTTCTCTCTTAGTTCCCACATGAATGTGAGTTGGAAAATTAACAGCAATGGCTTTTACATAGAAAGCTGACCAGTCTAATGACATTTAATCATGTTCAGTCTCTGCACAGTCTCACACATTTTTGTCTTTCACTCTGTCATTGTTGAGAACTAAAAAGAAAAAGAAGGAGTTGTTGTTAGGTGTCTAAGGGTGATGTGAACTCTGGTTTGCTTTTTTCGGGGGGCTACAAGGGATTGAACTTAGGGGCACTTGACCACTGAGCCACAACCCAAGCCCTATTTTGTATTTTATTTAGAGACAGGATCTCACTGCATTGCTTATCACCTCACTTTTGCTGAGGCTGGCTTTTGCTGAGGCTGGCTTTGAACTCGCGATCCTCCTGTCTCAGCCTCCCAAGCTGCTGGGATTACAGGTATGCACTACTGTGCCTGGCTCTGGTTTGCTTTTTTAAAAAATAAATACATATTATACATATTTTCAATTGTTGATAGAACTTCATTTAATTAATTTGTTTATTTTTATGTGGTGCTGAGAATTGAACCCAGTGCCTCACACATGCCAGGCATGTGAGCTACCACTGAGCCACAGCCCTAGCTCCTGGTTTACTTTTATAACACCAAAAATTATGTTTACTATTTATCTAGATGCATGTCACCTGAAAAAACATATAATGATCCTGAGAAAAGAACACTCTGGCCCACTTGCCTCTAAATCATACATTACTCTCAGAGAAATATTTGAAAATACCCTCAGTAAGTAATCCCCAAATAAGGTTTCCTGCAATAGATGTATTATTTGCACAAAAGTCCTTTACAGACAAAATGGAGAAATTCCCCAATTAGCCAGCCAAGAAGGCAGAAGTCATTAGAAATGCAGAATATTGAAAACCAAAGTTTAGAAAAGTCATCTGTGACTATCTGACTAAATAATAATGGAGAACTTAAATCACTTAGAGAGGCCAAACCCATAGAGGTCAGGCTTAACACAAAACCTAAAAGAAATCTTTTATTCCAGTTAAGCTTATTAAAAAAAAGTGCTTACTTTGTCTTAGGTAGAAACCTCAA